TTCAGCTCCGGGACTAAACTCCTTGGCTGACCTAAAAGAATTGATTTTGGTGGAAGAATTTAAACGACATGTGCAATTCTCATACTAAGCAAGCATGCAGCGACAGTGAAGAGGAAAACTCCCTTTTAACAGGAAGAAACCCCCATAGGATCCTGGCTTTGTATTAGCAGCCATCCACCATGACTCACTGGGGATGGAGAAGACAGAGCAGACACACACACACACACACACACACACACACACACAACATATATACCAAGTAGTGGCTTCATTGTGATTTCTTAGTAAATATTTGGTGAGAGATCAACTTGATTATATTTATCCTAGTGAATCTATAATTAAACAGGTAAACTAGTAGTAGCACATCCAATGTCAAAGAAAGTAAAATGTTATTATCAGGGGAGGGAGAATGTTTAAGTGGTTAGCAACAGTGTTCAAGAAGATGGTCCCCTCCATGAGGGCACCACAGCTTAGCAGAACATCATTGTAGCTTCTTCTGGGGAGAAAAATAGAGAAAATAAAGGATAATTAATGGAGCTGGATGGTCCTGGCTCCTGTAGCTGTTGGATGCCATAATAATGATGCAACAGCGTTGTCAGATAGAGACCGACTATAGTGAAATTTACTTTCATGTCTCAAGAACTCAGTTATAAAAAACTCAAAGGTTATCAGAAAGTGGTCCGAGAGGACTGGATAATGTGGAAATATCGTTATTTCCTCATACTCTATGCCATAAGTCAGCACAAGGTCTAATGTATGATGGCAGGAGTGGTTGGAGCTATGTATTCTTTGGGTAAAACCAATTGAGTCTAGGATATTACTAAAGGCTACATTGAGGCTATCATTTTCAATGTCCACATGAATGTTAAAATCCCCCACTACAATGACCTTATCAGTATTTAGCACCAAATCAGATAAAAAATCAGAGATGTGATCCAAAAACTCAGAGTAAGGGCCTGGTGGACGATATACAACTACAAACAAGAGTGGTTTTACAGTTTTGCTATCTGGATTAGGAAAACTAAGAATAAGATGTTCAAAAGAACTGTAATTATTAATTGGTAAGGGATTGATTAATAGGTCTGAATGAAAAATGGTTGCTACACCTCCTCCTCGCCCTGTACTTCGAGCAATATGATGATTTAAATAATTAGAAGGAGTTGACTCGTTTAAACTAACATAGTCCTCTTGCTGCAGCCAGGATTCTGTGAGAGAGAGCAAAGAGATCTGATTATCACAAATCAAGTCATTAACTAACAAAATCTTAGAATAAATAGACCTAATGTTCAATAACCCACATTTAATTTTTCTAATTTTCTGCTCAGTTGAATTTGTTCTAATATTTATGAGATTTCCATGATTTGCTTTATTAAGCCTGATATCAACCACTACTGAAAAAATCTGGCTGAGACCCAACTGTCCTCGGGAACTTTCGCCCCATTTCAAAGCTCCCCTTCTTGTCAAAATTGATGGAAAAGGCTGTTTATAATCAAATTATGCCCCATCTGAACAATTTTGGGGTCTTGGATAAATTTCAGTCTGGTTTTAGACAATATCACAGCACAGAATCCGCTCACATCAGGGTTTTTAATGATATTATTTTAGCCACTGATTCCGGTTCCCATGTTGCCCTGGTGATGTTGGACCTCTCAGCTGCATTTGGCACGGTTGACCATGACATTTTATTGTCCCGCCTTGAGAATTTGGTCGGCATTAAGGGATCTGCGCTTGACTGGTTCTGCTCCTACTTTGACAACAGGTCTATTAGAGTTAGAATGGACGACTGTTCATCTCCCTCTGCTGCTCTTCCGTGGGGCATGCCACAGGGTTCTATCATCGGCCCCCTTTTATTTAGCATTTATATTCTTCCACTGACTAATATTTAGGAAGTTTAACATTAACTTTCATCTTTATGTGGACGACTGCCAGATTTATGTTCCCTTGAAGACTTTTACCTCCATCCCACCGCTCCTTGATTGCCTGAGTGAGGTTAAAGACTAGCTGTCAGCAAATGTTCTGCTGCTGAATGATTTTAAGACAGAGTTTATTGTTTTTACTCCTAATGGTTCGTCTTCCTCCGCTCCTGATTTTTCTACTCTTCCTTTTAAAATTAGTCAAACAATTGTTAATCTTGGAATTAAAATGGATGTGGCTCTAAAGATGCACCCTCACGTTAATCACATGGTTAAATCATGTTTTTATCAGCTGAGATATCTTTCCAAACTAAAACCCATTCTGAATCGGCGCCACCTCGAGACAACCATTCACACCTTCATCACCTCAAGGTTGGATTACTCCAATGCAATTCTGTCTGGCATTTCAAAAGCCAAAGTATCTCGCCTCTAGCTGATACAAAATGTGACAGCAAGATTTCCGACCAATACTGGACGTTGGCAGCACATCACTCCAATTTTAGCAAGACTTCACTGGCTTCCTGTGGACTACCGTATACGTTTTAAAATTGTATTGTTTGTTTTTAAGGCATTGAATGACATAGCACCACCTTACATATCCGAGTTACTCACTCCTTATGTGCTGGGCAGGACTCTCCGTTCAGGTGACCTACACCTACTACAGATTCCCCGTCTATGCTGCAAAACCCGTGGTGAACAAGCTTTTTCTGTCTGCGCTGCAAAACTCTGGAATAGGGATGAGCGAGTACACCACTATCTGTATCTGTATCTGTATCTGTTCAACCAACTAAATTATCTGTATCTGTACTCGGAATGGGCGTGGCATAACCCGGAAGTGGGCGTGGTTTAACCGGAAGTGGGCGCGGTTTACATCAATATATTATTTAAAGTCTGAAATTGATATGGATTGATCAGAAGTTGCTATGTGTATTGTTTTTTTGAAAACTATTTACAGAGCAGCCTCAGAACTGAGATTAAATATTTTTGATCACAATAGTAAAGAAACTATTACAGAACAAGTGTTTCAATAAAATCAGAACATTAATTGGCGTAACTGGGTGTCGTTACCGCCAGTGTGAATAACAATCTTACCGCATTTACGCTCATCCTTAGCCAGCAGTTTCAGATAAGATTTAATGTCGCCCGCTCTGGCCCCAGGTAAACATTTACCTATGGTTGCTGGAGTCTCTAGTGCCACGTTTCTGACTATGGAGCTGCCAATGATCAGACTCAGCTTGTCAGTGGGTGTGTCACTGAGTGGGTTGGTGGTTTCCCATGGGCTGGGTTCTATGCTTCCTACGTACCGTCACCCAGCCGGCCTGAGGTCCCGGCTGCTCGGGTTCTACTGGAGGACCATTACGGGGTGGTTCCAGGCTAGTTAGCCCCGCACTAGCTAAGTAGCTACGGCTATCTACGGGCTTTTCAACGGTGCGGAGCCGGGCCTCCAATTCCGACTCCCTCGGCTTCAAAGCTACAAAAATGCTACATTTATTACACGTACCATTATCACTAAAGGAGGCAGAGGAGTAACTAAACATCTGACACAGAGAGCAAGAGATAGGAGACGGAGAAGCAGAGACAGAAGTAGCCATAGCCGTGCTGAGGCTAAGCTAACTGGGCGAGCAACCCGTTCAACACCAAATAAACTGTGTGCGAACTGAAATGGTCCCCTAAAAGCTAGGTGGAACAACAGAAAATGTGTGTTTTAATGTGCTTTTGTGCTACAATAACGCAGAAATGTCCCAGTACAGAGAAATGTAATCAGTGAGCCACAAACACCGAACAGCAACACTGAAAACAGGAAATGATGCAAAAATGCTTTACTGCTTTATTTATGTATTTATTTATTTAATTATTTCATTTAGTATTTATTGACTTATATTGAAGGAGGATAAAAAAAAACACTGGAGAAGAAGCATCTCGTTTACAAGTGGGTCCTCCTGGAAACAAAGATGCAAATACAAAGCCAAGATAACAGAGCGATAATTTGAATTCAAAACAAAATGACAAATTAACACTATCACAATTAAAAATAATATCAAATGAATCAAAATTTTAAACTGCCTAAAAGAAGGTAAATGATTCCAGTCAGATGGAGCTTTAACAGAAACAGCCAGATTCCCTGACTCAGTTCTACAACGGGGAACAATAAAGGAGGTATACAGAGTTCTACGAATGTGAGACCAGAATGGTATTAACAGAGTGGTTAGCTAAGAAGGAAAATTAAAATAGACACTTTTAAATAAAAACAACAACCAGTGAAATCTTCCTAGACTCAGCAGAGAGCCAGGACAAACAACCGTACATATGACAGTGATGAGTACGACACGGACAACGTAAAACAAAACGACATAAGCTATTATAGTGGTGGTCGGAGGGACCGGTGGCGCCTGCACTCGGCAGCCTCGCCTCTGTCAGCGCGCCCCAGGGCAGCTGTGGCTACATCGTAGCTCATCCCCACCAGTGTGTGAATGTGTGTGAATGGATGAATGATACACTGTAGTGTAAAGCGCTTTGGAGTCCTTACTCTGAGAGGCGCTGCACAAGTGCGGGTCATTTATCATTTATTATGAATAATATCAACAGAGTGGAGACAGGAAGCTGTAGAGTTCTGATGAACTGTCAGCGAAATCTAACAGTGGAACTAAAAGCTGAGTGACGATGCGTTTTCGTACTGTAAAGTCAAAGCACCTCATAGACCTATACAGAGTTTTCAGACTAAAGTTAATTTTATTTATGACAGTTCGAATGTGAGTCTTGAAGCAGAGGTATGGATCTAACCAGACACCAAGATATTTAATTGAGTCAGTAGCGTTCACCAGAGACACATCTGGAAAAATTCAGCGGAGAAAAAGCTCGAAAATTTCAACCTGAAAACATGTTTTTGCTTCCTTCATCCACTCCTCAGTTTCATTTGTTGGGTTTCCGCTCCTGGTACAACTTTTGTTTCGTGTGTGTGTGTGTGTGTGTGTGTGTGTGTGTGTGTGTGTGTGTGTGTGTGTGTGTGTGTGTGTGTGTGTGTGTGTGTGTGTGTGTGTGTGTGTACATGTGTGGGGGTGTTGCTGTTTGCAATGATTGGCTGCAGACCTGCTCTGGGTACTGAAGCACTGTTTTTTCTCATCAGTTCATCACAGACCGCTCCTCTTCGCTCTCGTCCTCCTCAGAGACAAACGTAAAAGAAAACATGGGCAAAATCAACGGCTGCCTGAAGTGTGTTTTTATCTTCTTCAATGTGTTGTTTGGGGTAAGTAAAAAGAATTTTTTTTTTACTTTTTTGCTACAAAAAACAAAAACTTTAACAAGAATTCTACTTTATCTGAAATGTTGAGAAGATGTCCGATGACGTACACAAACTTATGTAAAATGTAATGACTTTTTTTCATATGCCGTTTCATATGTTTTGAAAATTGATGCCGTTCTGCACCAACTAACCTGCAATGCTGTAATAATTTTTCTGCAGAAATGACAAAATAAAAACTTTTATTTCCTAAAAGTAAAAAAAAAAAAAAATTTCTATTTCTGAATCATCCGTGCCTAAAATCCACCAATAAATGAACTAATAATGATAAATGAAAACTGCACATTAAAAAAAAGTTTTTCTGAACAATCATCGAATCCTTTAATAAGAGAGAAACCTTGACACAGACTGGCCTCCCTTCCCCAATCCAGACCCCACCCAGCTCTCTGTGTTATTTCCTGTTCTTTGGCGGGGAAAAGACCTGAGAAAGATCTACTGTAAAGAGGCGGAGCTTAGGGAGGCAGATAAATGTTCATAACATGCTCCAAAAATGTGAGCACAGCATTAAAGTGACTTTTAGCTTCTTTGCTTTTACTCTGGATGTGATTTAAACCAGTTGTCTTCCAGTCAGGGCTCACATTTCCCTTTTGCTGCTGGTTGTTATTACCCATGCCATCTTAATTAGATTTTATTCTGTTTTTTTTATTTTTTTATTTTTGCAGAGCTGCTTCAGGCCTGTCTTTAGCTCTCTGGCCTCCTCTAGTGTTGCTGCTCCGAAATTACAAACACCATCAATAAAATGAAACAAAGGGGAAGAAAAATCTGAGTACAAAAACATCCATAACACCAAAATTTCAGCCAGAGCAGGAGATTAAATGCTTTTATTACATTTACTAAACATGCTACGTGTTTTATTTCTGTGAATCTGTGTGAGCGTCTGTTTAAAGGGGAGTTTCTTCAGCGGGGATCATTTTGCTAATGTGTAAAACAATATTTTAGTTGTGTTGAAGCAAAGTGAATAAGAGAAAGTCTCTGCCCACAGATCCTCGGATGTTTGCTGATTTATTCGGCGGTGAGGGCGACCGCCTCCTCCATCCAGGTAACATCACAACATTAGTACTGAATTCCCCCATGCCTCGTTTGAAATGGGTTAAAGTTATTTTGTTGACAGTAATTGGTAAACTAGAGAAATGTTGATTTATTTACAAAAGCGATCCCCTGAGATCAGTGTGTTAATCCAGATTATACAGAAGTTTCCGCCTGCTTCCACTGTTGAAAGTGGAGTTTGTTTACAGGAGCCACCATGTTGTATTTTTGGAAGGAACAGGATTGGAAGCCCCGCCCCCTCACAAATCTGCTTGGTGTTTTCATAAACATATTTATTCCAGTTGAACATGTTGGAGACATAAAAGCTTAAACAAACCGCTGCAAGCTAACATCAAATACACCTGGAAAAGAAATTCATCGTGTTTATTTCTTCACTAAGTGTTATTTATTTGAAGGGGGTGTGGCTTAGAACATTTACTAGAACCAAACACTAGGGGGTGCTTGTTTTGTTTAAAATTTAACCATGTTGCTCTGTCTGGTTATGTCTGTGGACAATATAGACAAAGAAGAAGAACAGGAAATATTGGCCGTAGTCAAGATGGGCCAGTTCTGCGCCGGTGATCGGCGAGCAGTGCTTGCCGGTTAGATTTGTGTCCGGCTTAACGCCGACTTGCTCTGGCGTCATGCATACGTAGGCAACAATAACCTTGAGAGATCAAGGCGGCCGCAGATTTTGGAGCAAAGCACTGCAGTTGCACTCCACCGGCTGCAAAACCTAGGGCATGATGGGAAACGCCTGGCTCTCACCTGATCTAAGATCTGATTGGTTCCCATTTTGATCCAAACATCTGGTGGTCGAATGTGAAATCTTAGTTGGTCGCATGTTTTCTACATGTCACATGTCTACCATAAATGATATCCACAAGCATGTGAAGATGTGTTTCAGTTGCTAACAGGCACCAGAATTAAAATGACAATTTAAACAAATATGAACGATAACGCCATATCTTCAGCCGTCGTCACCCACAAGCTACATGTAGGGAAGTCTGTCCGATTTTAATGCCGACTTTCAGTCACTCCCCCTGCTGCGTCTCTTTTCCAGGCGAAGCCCTGCTCAACTCGAACACGGCCAATGACGTAACATGGAAGTTAAAATCAGAAAGACCCAGACTGCCCCCTAGTGGCTGGCTGCATTAGAAGGTTTACATATGTGAAAATGAATGGAACGTTATCCTGGGATGATGTTTTTTATGGTCAGGGTGTTTGAGAAGTCAGTGAGAATTCTAGAGATAATTTTTCAACCTAACATTTAGTGTCATTTTGTTGTAAACGTACAGATGTCAACGTTTGGTGGCCCGGGCGTAGGCTGGATTTGGGTGATTGCCCTCGGAGTCTTCGGCATGTCCGCTCTGGGAATCTTTGCAGCTTGCTCTGAGAACAGCCTCGCTCTCAAAATAGTAAAGTTTGATTTTTGTTCCATTTTACAGTTTGTTTTAAAATGTCTGATCAGTCAACAAAGCTAAAACTGATAATTGTTCTTTGATATTCTGTTCTTTCATTGTGCAGTTTGCAGGTTTCATGGTGGCTGGAATGATCGTCATGCTGATCTTTGGGACCATTGTGGCAGTTGTGAGAAACAAGGTAATCAAACAGTAAATAACAAAAGGCCCGTATATAGTGCCATCAAGATGAAAAGATGGATGGATGGATGGATGGATGGATGGATAAATGGATGGATAAATGGATGGATGGATGGATGGGTGGGTGGATGGATGGATGGATGGATGGATGGATGGATAAATAGATAAATGGATGGATGGATGGATAAATGGATGGGTGGATGGATAAATGGATGGATGGATAAATAGATAAATGGATGGATGGATAAATAGATAAATGGATGGATGGATGGATGGGTGGATGGATAAATGGATGGATGGATAAATAGATAAATGGATGGATGGATAAATAGATAAATGGACGGATGGATAAATAGATAAATGGATGGATGGATGGATGGATGGATGGATGGATGGATGGATGGATGGATGGATGGGTGGATGGATAAATGGGTGGATGGATAAATGGATGGATGGATAAATAGATAAATGGATGGATGGATAAATAGATAAATGGACGGATGGATAAATAGATAAATGGATGGATGGATGGATGGATGGATGGATGGATGGATGGATGGATGGATGGATGGGTGGATGGATAAATGGATGGATGGATGGATGGATGGATGGCTTGCATGCCACCAGTCTGTCTCAGAGAAACGTTTTCAGGTGTTTATTAAACAGGAATTAAATCATTCCAACGTCAACTGATAGACCACTTTCCCCATGTTTTTATTTGGGAATTTCAGTCTGGTAGCTATGGAAGTAATGGATGAAGTGCAACTGCTCACTGTCTCCAATAAATCTAAGCAGTCTTCCTGCCAGTATCTCACCTCCTGATGGTCACCTGGAATGAGAATCATGTTCTTTCTCTCTTATTGTAGGTAAAAGACACCATAGAGCATGGAGCCAAGGAATTTGTCAATCCTATAATGGAAAACGAAGATTCCAGAGCCTTGCTTGAATCCCTGCAAGGACCTGTAAGATGTGTTCTGTTTGGATATTTATACTCATAAGGGTTAGGACAGGTCAAGTTCCACCCTCTAGTGGTTGCTTACATCAACATTCTAAACACTTTTATCTATAATACTATGACTGTTCGAGGGAAATTATATATTTTTGTGTTTCCTAATGTTGATAATCTGTGGTGGCCATCTTGATTTGAGCTGACCTCAAAATATTTCTTCAGTGATAACTTTCTTGGGTTTTTGTGAAGAAGAAACTAATTCAAGCCTTTCTGGTTTTTCAGTTCCAGTGCTGTGGCGTAGCTAGTGCTGAGGACTGGGGTTCAGCCATTCCTGACTCCTGTGGCTGCATGCCTGATTACAGCAGCATATCTAACTGCAAACCCAGACCTCAGGTGTGTTTTCCCAAAACCAGTCAATGACATGTTCTTACTTCCACTCATGCATGAATGCGTTGTTTGGGTTCAGATGTTGTTTGCTTGCAGTTCTTACATGTAGTTCTTGTTGACCCACAGGGTTCCTCTGGACCAGCCCTGATCTATTCGCAGGTAATTAATCTGTGCACCTGCCAGCTGAAACAAACAGCATCCAGTTTATCACCTGTTTAATGACTTCCTCTCTCCTACAGCCCTGCAGTCTTGCTTTATTCAGCATAGCAGACTTAGTCTTCAAGGTGACGATGGGCTTCCTGTTTGGATTTGCAGTCACAGCAGTAAGTTCCACTGATGTCTCATCCTCATTCAGCCACCTGTCTCCCTGTCTGACAATCTGACTACCTGTCTGACCATCTGTCTCCCTGTCTGACAATCTGACTACCTGTCTGACCATCTGTCTCCCTGTCTGACCACCTGTCTCCCTGTCTGACAATCTGACTACCTTTCTGACCATATGTCTCACTGTCTGACCACCTGTCTCCCTGTCTGACCACCTGTCTCCCTGTCTGACCACCTGTCTCCCTGTCTGACAATCTGACTACCTGTCTGACCATTGGACTCCCTGTCTGACCACCTGTCTCCCTGTCTGACAATCTGACTACCTTTCTGACCATCTGTCTCACTGTCTGACCACCTGTCTCCCTGTCTGACCATCTGACTCCCTGTCTGACCATCTGACTCCCTGTCTGACCATCTGTCTCCCTCTCTGACAATCTGACTACCTGTCTGACCATCTGTCTCCCTGTCTGACCATCTGACTACCTGTCTGACCATCTGACTCCCTGTCTGACCACCTCTCTCCCTGTCTGACCACCTGTCTTCCTGTCTGACCATCTGTTTCCCTGTCTGACCACTTGTCTCCCTGTCTGACAATCTGACTCCCTGTCTGACCATCTGACTCCCTGTCTGACCACCTGTCTCCCTGTCTGACCACCTGTCTCCCTGTCTGACCATCTGTCTCCCAGTCTGACCATCTGTCTCCCTGTCTGACAATCTGACTACCTGTCTGACCATTGGACTCCCTGTCTGACCACCTGTCTCCCTGTATGACAATCTGACTACCTGTCTGACCACCTGTCTCCCTGTCTGACCACCTGTCTCCCTGTCTGACCATCTGTCTCCCAGTCTGACCATCTGACTACCTGCCTGACAATCTGACTTCCTGTCTGACCATCTGTCTCCCTGTCTGACCATCTGTCTCCCTGTCTGACCATCTGTCATCCTGTCTGACTATCTGTCACCCTGTCTGACCATCTGACTACCTGTCTGACCATCTGTCTCCCTGTCTGACCACCTGTCTCCCTGTCTGACCACCTGTCTTCCTGTCTGACCATCTGACTCCCTGTCTGACAATCTGACTCCCTGTCTGACCACCTGTCTCCCTGTCTGACCACTTGTCTCCCTGTCTGACAATCTGACTCCCTGTCTGACCACCTGTCTCCCTGTCTGACCACTTGTCTCCCTGTCTGACAATCTGACTCCCTGTCTGACCACCTGTCTCCCTGTCTGACCATCTGACTACCTGTCTGACAATCTGACTACCTGTCTGACCAACGGACTACCTGTCTGACCACCTGTTTCCCTGTCTGACCACCTGTCTCCCTCTCTGACCACCTGTTTCTCTGTCTGACCACCTGTCTCTCTCTCTGACCACCTGTTTCTCTGTCTGACCTCCTGTCTCCCTGTCTTTCAGGTAATGGGTCTACTCTTCTCCATTGTCATGATTCGCCAGGTCACGCAGCATTAAAATGCTGGTAGACCATCTGCTGCGTTGAAGGGCATCTTAAGTTGACTTTTTGACCTCTAACGTCTGTAACATAACTAGAGGACTGATTGGTTAATAACTTCTTGTCATTGTGTGTGAACCACTTAAGTAAAGGAAGCTTTGTTATTCATTTGTGAAGTGAAGTCTGTGTTTTTGTTTCCACAACGAAGTTGTTCATATAATCCCGAGTGTCTCCAGAAATCTTGTTATGCAGATAGATGACAATAAGTCAGAAATGTGGCTTGAATGTGAATCACTTCTTTCAAAATACAAAATAAAGAGCAGAATAAGGTTTTAGTTTTTTGTACGAAACATTTCATTTTGGCTTGCAATCTGTAATCTGGTAATCATTTCCTTTTCTGCGTGATACTGGGTTGTCCAACAGTTTCACCATTACTGCTGTTGTTGTAATCGTAAACTTGTTTTTATTAGAACTATATTAAAGCTGTTTTAAAGGGAAATCTGACCTCCAACTCAGATTAAACTATACAGATGTAAAACCTACAGACTCATGTATTTTATTTTGAAGGGTATTTCTAGATTTGATGTTCTAGAAAAAAATGTGTTAAAAAAACAACTTAGTTGTACTTTTTCACTTTGAATGTGTTTTACAGTAAAGTAACATAGACCTTGATGACTTTGGTCAACTCAGATCAGACAGAGGTTGTGGTGTTTGGATCTGAGCTTCTTGTGTAGTCCTTCACTTCCTCTGAATGACATTGAGGCCTCATGAATCCCGTTTTACCAACGGGTCTTTTCCACCGCTCAGCCTTGGTCTACTCGGTTCGCTTGGATGGAAAACACTGAACTTGTCTAACAAGAGAACCCATTTGTTATCAAAGGCTTGTGGAACAACTGCTAACTCATTTGTCTGCAGTTGGATGAATTCCAGCAAAAGTGAAGCTACTAGTAGTTAGCTAGTCATTTCAACAAAACAGCTAGTAAAGCTGTAAGCCCCTTGACACGTGTTGTCACGTGCCCACAACCCTGCCCCCAAGCCACTGGCTGGAGGGCAAGAAGCCGGCACATCATGTTGACCACTGTTGTTGTTATCATTCAGTTGTCAGTAAACAGGGTGAAGTGATAAATAATAAATGACCCACACTTGTATATCGTCTTTCGGAGTCAGAGGACTCCAAAGTGCTTTACACTACATTGTATCATTCATCCATTCACACACTGATGGTGATGAGCTATCCTGTAGCCACAGCTGTCCTGGGACGCACTGAAATAAAACCCATCAGCATGGTTAACACACGTAGAGCTGTAGGCTGCACAAACAATCAAAAGGACAGAATGTCAAATTTTACAGGTTTCCTGCTGATAAAATACGCTGAGGGCAACCAGCCCAAGAGAATACTGGGTGGGGGATAAACCACCCACATCTGTCTCACGACAGAACAAAACAGTTAAATATCTGCCCCACATGTCCAGACATGAACAGCTTATAGCCACATACTGACTCATGATTTTTTAATATATTTATGCACGACTGCTGGGCACGAGTAGCTGGGGGAGAAGTACCGGCTGAGCAGAGGCAGCAGCGAGGGGAGCTGTGCCACAGATCAGTCCTGACAACACCCGTGTGGTGTGTAGGTCTGTGTGACCCACCGTAATGGTCTTGTCAATAATGACATAAAATGTGTTGTGTCATTGATGGTAGTGTCATGGTCTGCGTCTCCCTCGTGTGTCTCCTGGTCTGCAGCCCCTCCAGGTTATCCCTCCCAGGTCCTGTGCTCCCGTTGGTCTCCCCTAGTCACGCCCCTGCAGTTTTTCTATAAGGTTCAGCTTTTCATTTAATCAGTCTCCTTAAGTGTGTTTCTTTCTCCACCGGTTTTTGTAGTTCTCCTTCCTCCTTGGAACATTAGTTATTTAGCTTGCTCTTGGGTTTTGTTTTTGCTCTTAGCTCATGTTAGTTTCCCCTCCTCAGCTCACTTTCCTCTCCCTGATCAGTTAATTGTTTTCACGAGGTTTTCTCTCCCCACGCACCTGCAGCTTATCTCCCACTCATCCTGCCCCGGTGTATTTAACCCTGTCTGCGTCTCAGTGTGTTGTTGGGTCATTGTTTGTGTCAGCCTCGTCTCATTCACCGCTCTAGATTTTGGATCTCTTGCGTTCTTGGATATTTCTAGGTTTTGTTATTAGGAATTTTTGGATTTTGGTTTATTGTTCCCTGCCTCTTTTGGATTTACCCTTAATAAAGGATTTTTACGTTTTTTCTATCAACCCTGTGTCATCTGGAGTCTCTGCATCTTTGGGTCCTAACCTCCTCTTGGCTCACAACGTGACAGGTAGACTCTACTGTTGTTTGTTTTGTGTTTCTGTTTACGTTGCTCATCAGAATAAACAATCTGTTCATCTCCAAAGACACAGTGTCACGGTAACCCTTCAAAAGTTAGAAGATTATTATGATCATGAAGTTTCTGCTCATAAGGTTTGAGGCCCCAAACCGAATAAAGCATGAAGTCCATCCCAGGCTCTCTCTGGATGCTCCTGTTTCAGGACTTTTTCCACGCTGGAAGCACAAAACACCAGTTGTTCCCATTTTCCCCCTCCCCTATCCAATGGAAGAGTATAGTAGATGTATATACATACCATCATCTGTACACTATGTACGGTATACTGAGCTGTGGCTGAGGGTAATCTGTAGCAGCTGTGAAACCAGCTCCAGTCACAGGAAATGTTTTCAAATGATTTTGAGTTTAAAAAAAAACCGAAAACAAAAAAAAAACAGCAAGACCCAAAAGTGCTTTTGATTAACATCTAAATCAAAAGACGTCAACAAGGACAGACGATGCAGGTTTCCCCACAGAAAGAGAACCACTGAAACAGTTAAGTCTACGGCTCATGTTTCCATTTCTCGAAAACGGATCAGATTCCCGCTCCTTCCTGCTGATTGGATGCAGATGTTTTCCCTGTGATGTAACCCTGAGTTTTTCCATCACACATTGTATAAGGGTTGGCACGCTGATGCAGTTAGCAGCACTGATGCAGGTTCAAATCCCAGCTGCACATTAGTCGACATGAAAGGACGTCTTCAGCAAAGTGTTGGTTCATCCGAGGAAAACAAAAAGGAAAACTGGAAGTTAGAAGATCTTCCAGTTTAGTCGTCTGGAATCACAACTCCTCACATGAACGGGGAAGAGAACGCTGCGGGTCGAGCAGATCAGCCGGTAACGCAGCTGGATGTTCAATACCTCTTAATTATTGTTGGTTTACAGAAACCACGACAACAGAACGACTCCGCCTCTTCCCTCCATATCTGAACCTGGGGCGACGGTGGCACAGGAGTTAAGAGCTCGCCCCGTAATCGGAAGGTTGCAGGTTCGAGTCCCGCTCAGTCTGTCGCTGTCGTTGTGTCCTTGGGCAAGACACTTAACCCACATTTCCTGCTGGTGGTGGTCGGAGGGACCGGTGGCGCCAGTGCTCGGCAGCCTCGCCTCTGTCAGTGTGCCCCAGGGCAGCTGTGGCTACATCGTAGCTCATCCCCACCAGTGTGTGAATGTGTGTGTGAATGGGTGAATGACTGATTGTGTTGTAAAGCGCCTTGGGGGGTTCCAGGACTTTAGAAGGCGCTATATCAACTACAGGCCATTTACCATTTTGAAGGATTCATAAACCTCCAACCACATAACAACCCGAAGCTCTGCTTCCGAGCTTCGCTCTCACCGAAGTTCCCACAAAAAGTTGTTAATCTGTGAATTCCCAGCTTGTTGACGGGCTCTGTGGCGTGACAGCTGGGACACAATTAGCAGCTGACTTACGTAAGATGTTTGCTGGCAGAACGAGCCGCAGACTTCCTGTCGTTTCTCTCAGGGAACAAAGAAAGCAGAGAGGAAACGTCCGTGTGTGGTTTCAGGCTGATTTCAGAGGAGCTTTGAACTAAATGCAGTCTCTTTTACATCATTAGGTTTTATTTAAACAAGGAGTTGTGTAACCAGGGCAAACATGTGGGAGGGTTTGTGACGCAGCTGAGAAGAAGCCGCCTCCCGGCATCGTCTGCAGTGTTGAAAAAACAAAGATTTACTTAGACTTGAATCAACTTTGTTGACATCTAAGTTTCCTTTTCTTGAGCTCTGAGCTGACGAGGCGTTTGTGATCAGCCTCTAGCAGCTTTGTGTTGTTGTGGAACAGAAGACGTTGACCCGGGTCGACCTGGGAAGGCGCTGCTGTCGTCCCCTGCCTCTATGCTTGGAGTCCGCGTCGAGAACGCCGCTGCCCTCAGCTTAACACTTTGAGCGTTGCTTAGAGTAAACTCCTAAGTGTCAGTTACTAGAAGGTCAAAACAGCTGATAAAGATGTGTCTCACGCCAACTCCTGCAGACACTTCTGAGACAGTCTGCAGCTGATGGATGAAACCCGGCGGGGTGAAAATCCTGTTTTCTCTCTCTGACAAATGCTTTTATTTTGCGCTGTAGTTAGCAGGGATGCGTGTTTTTGAAATTCTGGCGATACGATACGTATCACGATACGGGGGAGACGATACGATAAATCACGATATAATGCGATACATTCAGTCAGACGTTACAGGCAATTTTTTTTTACTGAGTTTATTGTAAGAATGTTCAATAAACAGTCCAAACTGATACGTAACATGTTTAACATGAGGTATCTGAACCATGACGGAGGGATTTACATTTCAGTGGTGGAAACAAAACCCGTTGCACACTGCTGCCACCTAGCGGGTGGCGATTGAATTGCACAAAACGAAAAGAATATACACAAATGTTTGCATGTAAATTCTTTCAAGAATTAGATACACGGCTTTAGAATATCGATGTAATATTGCTGGAAAAAATATCACGATATATTGCCATATCGATATTTTCTTACATCCCTAGTATCTGCCTGGGTTCTGTTAATGGTCTGGTTCCCATAGAAACTGAGTAATACTTGTTCTTTCTGAGATGTGATCAGAATCAGAAGGTTTTATTGCCACGGATGCGAGAATCACATCATTAGGAAACTGCTGCGGTGCTTAAAATAATTGATGAGCAAAGTTAGAATTAAGAAATAAACACAATTAAATGGCAATAATTGGAGAAGCAGCTACTTTATACAAGTCAGTGTGGGTACTGGTCAGCGCGGCTCAGTTCAGGTGCAAACACAACACCGGGTCATGTGACTGAAACAAAACAGCTGGAGTGGGCGGGTCTACGATTGTCATTCGTGAGTCCGACCGCAGAGGGGAAGAGACTGTTTTTGTGGCGAGAGGTTCTGGTCCGAATGGATCGGGAGCCTCCTGCCAGATGGGAGCATGTCGAAGAGACCAGGTCCAGGGTGAGACGGGTCTGCTGCGATCCGACCTGCACTTCTTATCGACCTGGAGGTGTGCAGGTCCTGTAAGGAGATGGTAAAGTTGAGCTGAGTTTTGGACACATCTCAGCATCTGTCTGTGTTAAAGTGTCTCTCTTTAAGCTGAGTTTGGAGTGGAGACCAGCTGGCCGTCCACTCCAGCTGATGAGAGCTGATCAGAAAGAACTTGTCCAACTGTTTAAAGAACA